ATAGATCAGATATACTGTGAATTGACAAAAAGTTGTAAAGGGAGATTTATTAAAAAGAACTAAATACGGGAAGGTGAAAAATTTACCAGAAAGGAGCATAATTCAAAAAATGAAGGGTACATTGCAGAAAGGGCAGACAGACTGTTTATGCTATTTAATTTTATCTTAAGCTGAACAACAAATACCTGAAAGTACAAGACTTATGGGGAGAGAGAGAAAGAACGAGACACATAGAATGAGTGTAAAAAGAAGTAAAGACTATCAGGCAACACAGCTCAATGAAAACAAATTCCTCCTCTCTTAGCAGCTAAAGTAAAATGTTTTCTGAATCCTGACAATACTCCATTCTTCTGCTTTCTAGATGGCTGGAACCCGAACAACCATCAATCAAATTTGGGTGGCTGTGAAGTAGGACAGATGGAGTATGTCAGAAGTGCTTTGTGCTCTTCAGTGCAAGCTGGCCATTAGAGCAGCCACTTGATAGAAGTGCCCAAGACTTTCACATCTGTCAAGATAGTTTAGGGAGACCTTGAACATCACTGGCCTTGCAGATGCTGATTAGAATATGCAATTGTATGTGCTAGAGGAGAGGTGGTTGCCTCCACTGGGATTTTTGTGATAAAAATTATCCTTTCAGCCCGCCCAGACTTTATGACAGGCTTTCTCATGACCTCATTTGTATACTAAATACACAAACCACAGTGTCTGGGATATCACTGTCACTTTGCTGACAATCTCTCTGCCCAAAGGCACAATATTCAAGAGCAAAAGATGTTTTTCATTCTGTGTTAGCTACACTTTAGCACAGCAGCCCAGGACCAAGTTTCTGACTTCCAGCCTGAGCAAAGCTAGGGAGAAAAGAGCTCATCAGAAAGCCAGATAAAATTCAAATTCTTGGTTCATCATCTACTCTCACCCTAAAATTCAATATACAGCACCGTACTCCAAAATGTCCAAGTGTCATAGACAATAATCTATAGAAGTCAGATGCTCAGAAGAAAAAGGTACTGCCATGGAGCAATTGTAAATAATAAGAAAAAATATATATATTTTTCTATTTATTTTCCAAAATAATGGGGAGTGCTTCAAAAAGACTTTAACACTTTTCTATGAAAGCTGACTAACAATATAAAACAAATCCATAAAAACACTTAGGTCACCAGTTTATGAAGAAGGCATTGATACCCAAAGTTCATGAGTATCTCCTAGTTTAATTTAGCACAAACTATACTTTTATCAACAAATCTGCAAAATTATAACCCTTGAGATTTTTCTACATGTATAATTTCACTTTATGTTAAGAATAGAACAAGATCTTATGAACAGCAGTCATTTTTGAAATCATTAAGTGAGAGGAGAGAGACATATGATTCTTGCTACCAGCAAAGTTGCCATATGTTCACAAGCTGGAAAGATGGATAACCAACAGTAGGGCAGCATCCACAGTTAAGATCAATTTATTTGCAGTTTTTTCAAAGAGCAGAAAATGTGAGGAGGAGCTTCAGGCACCAAGTCACATCAAGGAAGTGTGTCAGGTGAAATTGGATGCGCAACACTTCATTGGTGGGGCCTAAACAAAATAAGCTGTCTTACCCTCACAACTTCTGGGGTTCTTAACTAATCACATTAACTAATTTTTAAAAAATGTAAGAGTTAGGGAGAATTGTGAAGGTCTTAGATAAAGATGTTTACTTCACATGCAAGCAGCGATCAAAATTTAAATCATAGTTAAAATATTTGGTGGATATAATGAACAATATAGGTAGTATTGCAATGATATTTTCTTTTTCAACACAGATCTGTAGAGGATGTGCTTGAAATACTGTATACGGTCCAGTCTCTTCATCACAAAAACTATTTTGCAATAATAGAAGGAATTTAGGTAAGTCCAGTAATGAGTATTCTTATTGTGGATAAATTGTTATACAAAGAAATATGTAAGTCAGAGGTTTCAGCTTTAAAAGATGGTAAGTGACAAAAAGTGACAGAAGATACATATAACTACCACTGATTGGAGAAGCTAAATGTGGGCTTTTGCTCAACTCATTTTCAGTATGAAACCAAAAGGAAAAGTGGTATATTGGAGAGGTTACAAACACAAGTTAATAAAAGAAAAATTTCAGTGCACAGGAAAGGAGGCTAGTCAGGAAAATCATGAAAAAACCGCTTTTTCTGAATATGTCAGTATTTTTCAGTGCAATATTCTCAGTCAGTTCACATCTGCTTTTGGTACTCCTAACTTGTTGCTGTCAGAGATGTACTCATTGGTGTAGCTCTTAAAGTATACACCAGACAGAAAGGTAACCATCCAGCGGTAAAACAGATTCCTGGAACTGATAAACCCAACTTAGTGCTCTGTTGCCAGAGCTCTCAAATACCAGGAAGCCACTGTTCTGCTACCCCAGGTAATCGCAGTAGGAATTGCTGGCCCTTGACCAGCATTTACAGATGTAGCTGCATATCAACACAGATCTTTTGCAACATTGTGCCTCAGAAAAAAACGCTGCTGCTTCCAAATAATATATCATAGGCTTTTTCTCTTGTCGTCTTGAGACACTGATGCAAAGCTATGTGTGAAAAGGGAGCCTAATATATACCTGCAGTCCATTCTAAGCTCTCAGGCAATAATCCAGTTCTTATTTCTCATCTCCAAATAAGGAAATTTATTAAAATTCTAGCTATAGATTGAATGCAGTTTGATTTTTTTCTTTTATCTAGTTATGGGTAAGGACTTACCTCCAACTCGTAATTTCTTTCACCTCAGGAAGAAAACAAATACTCTCATTCCAGCCAACATGTCAGCACTATGATTTTTAACTCAGAAATAAAGTCTAGTAGGGCAAAACATTTCATACAGTACTAATATGCTTGACCCAATTTATTATTCTAATTCCTCCTACTGGTGCCAACACACTGTCCATTGTAGCTCCTATGTAGTTATACCCACATATCTGCAATATGGACTTAGCCCAGAGCCCAGGCAGGCTGTGTGTGTGTGACTTCCATGTCTGCCACTCCTACTAATGCCAACAGCAGATGAACAAGCAGGTGGTATGCAGGAAGATTTCTAAAGTAAATCAGGAGAGCAGAACTTCTGCTCACAGTTATTATGACCAAACCCCCACATTTGTACCTATTTCTTCTTTTGCATTCCTTCGAATCAAATGAAGTCAGGTTTCCTAATTAAGTAAAACCCCATATCTGCTGCAGCTGTCCCAACCTGAGCTTCAGTTTCAGCTATAGCTCAGTGATACCTAGAATCAATTAAACTCGAACCCAGCAATTTCTTAAGCTCTGCCTTCAAAACTATAACTTGAAAACAAGTCTGTACTGCCCAACAGCCCTGCTTTCACAAAACAGTGCTGTATCAACATCCTGCTTTGTCTCCCTCTCCCCTCTTCTGGCAGCCATTCACAGAACATACTGACTCCGTGGGAGCAAGACAAGGCAGAGAGCTACTGGTGGCTCGAGTGGCAGAGGCCTTCTGGCAGCACAGTGGGAAGCTTCATTCAATAAACTCCCAAATGCTACACAGGCATACAAACTTACTAAAAAAAAATCCACAAAAAACCCCAAGGAAATAAAAAACCAAACAAGCCAAAACCAAACAAAAAAACCCAATGAAACGAAAAACCACAAACAACCAATAAAAAACAAACAAAAATAAGCAAACAAAAAAAATTCCAAACCACAAAAACAGGAAGAAAGTCCTTGCCCCCCAAACTGTTACACAATAAAAATCACACATCTCAAAGCCCTCCCTTCATCCCCACCCAATCATTTCTACCCTCAAATGATGTTTATTGCTGCCATCTCAACCAAGTCAGCTGGTCTCTAAAAAGCTAGTTGTATCCCTTCTGCTTCACAGCCTGTCACTATCTAGGCAAGTTTCAGACTCATCTAATAACTCCATGGATGGTGCGCAAGGAAAAGCACTTACAGCTGCACTGACTACAAAGCAGATGGAAAAACACACACAAAAAGCACCTGCAACCTTGTCAAGCATCTCCCTGGTTGCACAAGCAGAGCAGGCCACCTGCAGTTGCTCCTCAGATCAATGGTGCACAACCATCCACAATTTGAAAGTTGCTTGTCCCAGGTGCACCTGTCACACCTAATCACATTTATTTGTGTTATTATCCAAGTATTCAGAGCCTGGAGGGTGTTAAACCTTGCTGGTTTTAAGCAAACAAATGTCAGGGTAGCATAGCTTGTATAATCCACTTAAAACACATTACTTCTGCATCTCAAACAAGATCTCACAATTTTAGCTCCCACTATAAATCATCCCACACATGTAACACCTGTTACTCCAACAAAAGAATACATTAAAAGGCTTTAATGATTAGAAAGAATATAAGTTTTTCTAAGGGACACCTGGAAACACAAATGCAGGGCATATGTCTTTATGTGCACTAGGAATTACACTGTCAGTCACATTTAAATAAGAAATATACTTTCTGTACTCTCCTTCCTGCTATATTTGAATAAAGAATAAACAAGCCCAAGGGTGCACAACATTTACATATTTCAGTGTGCACAGAGCAGAATATCCTTTCAATGAGTCCTGTCCAGAAGGAAAGTGGTTCTTTTTTCAACTAGTCATTAATCGATACCAAACAAAACCTATATAAAAGATGTCTTTGTCAAGGGATATTTTATCATGCTATTATTGGTCTGTTCCCATCAACAGGTGAGTTATGAAAAGAATCTGCAGTCTGGCAGTCTTGTCACATAAGCAAACTGGTAGTGATGCAGGTGGTCTAAAGTTAAAATTGGAGCTCTAATCTTCAGTTTACCTCGTGTGTGTCACAGAGCCTTGACTATACAGCTCAGGAATAGTCTGTCTGACCACTGAGAGACAGGAGCAGTGCTAAACTGAGGAAGGACCATGAAAGTGCAATCTCCTGTACAACTGAGCTCCCACTGAAGCACGTGGGACATCACAAATCCAGTGATTTAAATGAACTAGCGTGTAGCTTTCAGAAAATGGAATTTACCTTGAGGTTTGGGTTTGGTAAGCTTCCCACAGGGCTTTGAGATTGTGACAGTCTTCTGGCAGTCAGCATTGTGAAGGGCTCTCTTTAGGTTTCCAGTTCGAGTCTTCAGGGCCGTATTCAAGTCACATTCTCCCCAGGCCTGGAACTGGTATTTGCACTCCGCTGCAATAAGTAAATAAAGGGCAAGTTTTAAAACACAGTGGCTGAGTGGGAAAACAAAAATATTATGAGTCTAATAGGATATCACAGGCAGTCAGTACATATAGACAAAAGGATGTGCAGCTGAGGAAAAGAATCCCAAGAAAAATTTAAAGATTATTTGCGGTGGTAATTGCAGTTTTCCCTCTCCCCAATGTTCTAAAGTTTAATCCTCTAGCTTTTGCATGGATATTGCATTTTTTCATATAAAAGAAAATACATTCAGCTCTGAATATGAACAATAAACAACAACAACAAAAAGAAGATACAACAACAATGGGAATATCATCTACATTCTATATTCCAATATTTGTATGATGCCAAAGATTACCAAACAAGGCTTGAACAGTTTCAGAAATGTATATGCAACTACAAACTTCTCAGGTCTGAAACTGCAGCACTGATTGTGATGGTAAGGTCACAATAATGTCAAAACCACGCAAGCTGCTTACTAGAAAAAAAGTCAAGATTGCAAGCGTCATCAAATTTGAGTCTTGGACAGACATCTTATCCACAACAGATCTGACGTGTTTCTAAACTGTTGCACATGAACCTTCTGAACTGAATGATAAAGATGATATACACTGATCTTCATTCGCTCCCTCCACTGCACACGCTGGCAGCAAGGCTCGTATCACACATCACAAGGTCACATAAAGCCTGTGATAACCATCACAGAGATTCACAGCTGTGAACTTACACTACTGCCTTAAATAGGGTTGGACACCACAGGAGAGCAGATTTCAGAATGATGGAAGACTGAGTTTATAATTAGTAGGTTATATGGACTCTATGCAGAGGAGCTCTGAAGAGGCTGCCTTCTGATGCCCTACATGTTCTAGCTCTGATGAACTTCAAATACAGGACTAACCTCTTCACCAAGACATTTGCAGAACTAAACAGAAAATACAGGTTTCCTGCTCCATTCTTAAAATAAAAAACAAAGCAGATCCCTTAAGAGACTGATGCTTACCTCCAAATTGCTTCTTCCAGTTGCAGGGAATCTTACACTTCTGAGTCTTGGTGGTTTGTTTGCACTCAGCTCCAGTGCGAGTGCCCTCACGTGTCCCCAGACCACAGTCACCATTGGTGGGGACACAGACACTCCACTGCCATTCCCCACAGTCAGACTTCTTCGCCTTTTTCTCTGGATGAAGACAAGGAACCAAGCAAGAGAAGTGGTCAGTACCCAGAGCCTACAGAGATGTTCCCTAAACTTAACCAAAGAGTCAGAGCACCTGAAAGGGTAAATAAGGAAGACACAATTGCTTTAAAAGCAAAAAGTCTGACATTCTCTTCCCAGTTCTGCAGAGACAGGTCAGCCTCTTTGAGTCCAAAGCAGGGTGATCATTCGAATTCACTCCCACTACCATGTCAGAATAGGGAATCATCTAAAAACCCTCAAGGATCACTGACCAAACAGGCAGAAGAACAGAAGCTTGCTCAGAAAGGACACTCCTCTGTCTCCAGTAGCCGATGGCAGGCAAATATTCTCAGTTCCAATTGAAACACTATACACTAAACAACTAGAAATGTGTTGACATTGTGTATCAGAGGATTTGAGCACCTCTGGGAAACAGCTGTGAGATTCAATCTTTTGACTTGGTATACCATGTCACATTTTATGTCAGAATATGACCAAAACTCCAAAGGCAAAAAAACCTGTATGGAGAAGCATATTTGAAGTGCTGTTAGTACAGGTGGGTTTATTGCTCAGGGACAAAAGTAAGGATCGTGATTTCATTTCAATCCTTTAAACCCAAGCCTTATGAGAAAAGACAGTATTGTCACTACTTAGGCCCCCCAAACATCACAAATAACTTTAAATAACCTCATATAAATTAATTTTCTCCTAAGTTTTGTACGTTTACATTCACATTTTCTCATATTTCCATATGGCCACAATGGTTAGAAAACCCTTTTTTTTTTTTTAGCTGGAACACTGATTCTGATAGACTCACAGTTCATATTGTCTTGAGTGTAAGTAGCCTGTAAATAATAAGACCTTAAGAAAAGCACCAAAAAATATGTTCTTTAAAAAATGTCAAAACTGGGTTTGACAAATATGAATTTTCCAGCCCAGGCCTGTCTCTCCTATAATGAGGCCTGAATTCATCACTGACAGAAAGCAATTACAACTGGATATCTGGCTGGCTGTGCCAGCGAGTTAGTTCAAATCTTTGTCAGAGGATTTCCACATCACACAGCATTGGTGTAGTATTGTCATATACAACACTGAACAAGCAACATAACTGCTCTTTCATCACTCCTGTTTGGCTCTCCCTAAGTCAAGCATGAAACTATTCCCGCAGCAAATTTTAAGCTGCCTTGCAATACCCACTGTGTGATAAACCAAGGACTCCAGTCTCTGGGGTTGTCAAGTTGCCAGTTTGCGTGGAAACCACTTTCTGATTTCCTGTTTAACACAGAACAACATGTCACAGCCACAAATCCCTACCCTGGATGTCAAAACGTTAACAAGTTACCTGAATCTCATAACAAAACCAGAAGCATTTGACATTCTCCCACACATGCAATCTGTCTTGGGGATAAACTCTGAATTACGCTGGACCTTACCCGGTTTCTCTTTTTTGCCGGCCTCGGTGGTACTCACAGCTGCCAGAATGAAAACAAGTGCCAGGAGGGCAGCTGTGAACATCCGACGTTGCTGTTGTTGCTGTTGCATTCTGAAGATCAATGACAGAGAGGAAACAAAAAGGTTGGTTAGACTGTAAAAAGTGGGACTCCATCGAAAGCAGGTCAAACATAATTAGCTATTGGCAGAAAGGGCAATTATCTTCATTCCAGAGAGAATATGGAGATTTTTAACTATTTTCCAGCCTGTATACCAAATCCCCAATATACATCACTGATCTCATTGGAGGAATTTTGCCAAGGAAGTTCTGTAACTATTGCTCATCTTCTAGAAACCTGTCAGAGAATCAAGGATCCTGACAGGCCTGGAACTTCCCTCTGCTTTTCTGACCTCTGGCTGTGTAAACCTAAGCAAAATACAGACTTCATGTTTCAGCTTACCAATTCATATAAAGTAGATAATTCTATACTGTCCATCTTACAAGGGTTCAAGTTCTTATTAGGCTTAATAAGAAAAGAGCTTCTTTCAAGAAAACCTATAGAGGTAATATGTGATGCTTTATCTTAATTGTCATTGGTGTGTTGCTACCTACTTCTTCCTTCCCCTGCAATTAGTGTCTCTTCCTAATACAAATTAAGCTAATTGCTTGAAATGCAAAATACACACAGAGATAAGACTTGCATACACTGCTAGAGGCTATCCATAGTATGCTAATGAACCCAAAATCTGGATTTGGGAAGCAAACATTCATATATAAAAAAGAACTAAAAACATTTGCTTGGTGGTGAAGCATCAATCACTAGCCAGTCACCAAAAGTCATTCAGAGCTTTCCCTTTCACTTTGCTATAACTTGCATTGTCTCATTTTGGCAATGTTTATAGAAAAGCAGGGCCTTAACAAATACATATGTTAAAAATAAGCAACCTCCCCATTTCCTAGAGACACATTTCTATTAAGCAGCCAGATACCAAGATGGTTGACTGGAGATTGTACAGATGAAAGGAAGGTTTTTTGTAGCAGGCGGCCCTTGTACAACAAGGAATGAATGATGCTCCTCGTGCGATGGTGAGACAAAGAGAGAGTTTATTCAAAATTCCCACTCTTAAATCCCTGTATACCATGTGACTTCTTCAGCCAATAGAGTTATATGTGACTGCGCATGTCCCCTCGGGCCCATCGCCCTGGCACATCCCCTGTGCATCCAGACACGCCTCCTACAGTTTTTCTGCCTTTTTTTTTTTTTTTCAAACCAATACCTATAACATTCATGTTACACCAGTCCTCCAAGGAAGTGTCAATAGTGCTAGCCACTCAGATGGCCTTAAAAACTCAACTAGACTCATATTTACGGAAAATTTAATGGCAACCTGATCTCATTTGCTGAGCACAGCAACCTCAGGGGAGAAATACTTCTCGACATGAACAAAGAACAAAATGTATTTGAAATTTAATTTGGCACTCCTCAGTATTCTCTGCTGGCAACCTCTAGCTCAAATGCAACATAATTGTAATTGACATGGAAACCAGCAGAGGAATCCCAAACACAGACTTTTAAGTATCTAGCTTTTATATCATGCTAGAAGTCAGATGACACAACTTAAGAGTTTTGTTGAAATAAAGTTCCTGTGAAGACTGCAAGAGACCTGGCATTCAAATGTCTGAAAGAGCTGTCATTAGCACCAGTTTGGTTTTCTTCAACAGAAAGTACAATTTCCCATCAGGAAGAAAGGACCCCCATTGTTTCCAGTGAACTCAAACAGAGCCTGGAGCTAGAGCACAAGTCGTGTGTGAGCTTGGGCTTGTTTTTCCCTTTATTCTGCTACATGTTACCACTCAGAGCCTCTCATATTTCATAGAAATTATTAAATAAATAAATAAATAAAAAGAAATAACCAGTTAAAAAATAAATTTGCAACCTGCCTTTTAGTTAGACTTACTTCAAACTGGTTTTCCTTAATCAAACAATCACCACTCCTATGAGGAAAGGCTAAGACAATTGGTTTTGTTCAGCCTGGAAAAGAAAAGGCTTAGAGGTGGCTTAATTGAAGCCTTTCAGTACCTGAAAGGAGTCCACAAGAAAGATGGAGAGACTTTCTACAAGAGCATGTAGTGAAAGGACAACGAGGAATGGATTCAAGCTGAGAGTAGGTTTAGATTAGTTTTAATCACCATAATAAAAGAAAGATATTAAGCTATTAGAGACCATCCAAAGAAGGGCAACAAAGATGGTGAAGGGCCTTAAGGGGAAGCCGTATGAGGAGGGGCTGAGGTCATTTGGTCTGTTCAGCCTGGAGGAGACTGAAGGGAGACTTCATTGCTGTTACAACATCTAGTGAGGGGAAGAGGAGGGGTGGGCACTGATCTCTTCTCTATGGTGACCAGTAACAGGACTGAAGGGAATGGCCCAAAGTTGTATCAGGGGAGGTTTAGGTTGGTTATTAGAAAAAGGTTCTTTCCCCAGAGGGTGGCTGCACACTGGAACATGCTCCTCAGGGAAGTGGTCACACAGCACCAAGCCTGACAGAGTTCAAGAAGTGTTTGGACAATACTCTCAGGCACATGGTGTGATTCTTGGGGATGGTCCTGTGCAGGGCTAAGGGTTAGAGTCAGTGATCTTTGTGGGTCCCTTCCAACTCAGCATATTCTGTGATTCTGTAGATATTAGGAAAAATTTCTTTACCGTGAGAGTGGTGAGGCACTGGAACAGGTTGCCCAGAGAAGTTATGGAAGCCCCATCCTTGGAAGGGAGGGCCCATACTTCAAGGCCAGGCTGGATGGAGCTCTGAACAAACCGGTCTAGCAAAAGGTGTCCCTGCCCACAGCAGGGGTTTGGAACTAGATGATCTTTAAGGTCCCTTCCAACCCAAAGAATTCTGTGATTCTGTGATTCAAACAGACTTTCCGTACTATTGAAACATCAAACTCCCCACTCAGCCCCTGCAAGAGATGGCCACATTGGGTTTGGGGCTCCCCCCTACACCCCTTCTGCCCACCCCAGGGACCTAGGATGTGGTCACATCAGGAATCATGGATAACTGTTACTAGGGAAGCTGCCTTATATTAAGTTGATAGGGACTCAAATTCAAACCTGCCTGACACTATTTTCTGCAAAACAGGCACGGAGAACAGTTGGGTTTGGGAGTCTGAAACATTTCAGAAGCCCTACAAACAAAACTCAACAGAGCCTTAATATAGTATGTTTCCTAAGATTCAAGCTTTCCTTCAGCCAAAATACTTACCAAGTTGTCTAAGGCAAATGCTAAACCTGCAGATACAGCTATAGATATTTTGACTCTCTGCAGAGAGACAGGCTGTTTCCTGAAGTGCCTTTGCTACTAGCTAACAACAAGTGAAAAGCCATGTTGTACAAATGGAGACCTTGCCTCATACCGCATCAACACCTCAAATATGATGTAACCAGTATGACTACAGAAGATCATGTAACTGCTTTGCACATGATAGATAACAAGGGCTGCTGCTCTCACAAAATTAGAAACAACCAATATGTAGTATCCATGAAATAGTAGATATTTTTTCAGAAGTCCAGAAAATTCCTCTTATCAGAAATTATTTGAGTTCAATCTTCAGTTTTCCTTTCAAATATTTCAGTTGACAGTTAAAAAGATGGATGAAGACAAAAAATTGTTGGATTGGTCTTGTTTGTGCAAACAATAGATTCTACTGAAAATAACTTTACCTTTTTTGGTTTACTTTTTCAAAGTTTTTCCTTTTTATTAGATTCTTTGATAATATTTCCAGTTCAACCTTTGATTTAAAGAGCTGCCAAAACCGCTATTAACAATGAAATGATAAGCTTTTCACAATATGCAAAATGGACTCCTCCTCCATATTTTCATTTTTGTAATAAGCCTTCTAGCTACACCAATGGTAACAAGTAAATCTTGTCATGAAGGGAAAGCATGTCTAAAATCCTTTATGACAACCCCCTAAAGAGAGCAAGACAACAGCATTTAAACAAATGGCAGTGGTATTTACAACCACAGAAAGACAATGACAAAAGTGAGAGAAAGTAAAGACATTTGGAGTGGGGGGAGCTCCAGGAAACTTCAGAAGAGAGAAAAGGTAGAGAGAGAGAAGACAGTTTAGAACAGTTTAAATTGGAAGCTGGAACAAGATCAGAAAAACAGAGTGAGTAATCACATAGAGAGAACCAAAACAGGAAAGAGAGAGGAGACAAGTAGTTAATTATAGGGAAACATTAAAACAGAGAGTGTTAAGAAAACATGAAGAGTGTAACAAAGTCAGAAGTAAAGCCCAGCTGAGATACACCAAGTGACTTCTTGCAGCAAAATTAAGGCACAGGAATTACTTCAGTCTTACAGTTGATTTCAGAGTCAATCTCTGTTTGGGGGTAAGAAGTGAAAGGAAAATTAAAAAATGTCAGGCAATCAGAGAATTAATGAGTTCATCAACCATCCACCCATGGGTTCAACTGCATGTTGAGCACCAGAGAGTCAGGCAGAAGTCACCCTATGGCTGCAATTTAAGTGATCTGAGCAGAGCTTGAGCCTCCCACTTCAAAGCCCATACTACCTCCAACCTCATTTTATAATCACACTCATCTCTCCTGAACCTGATTCATTAAATCATTCATTTGCTGTGATGAGCACCATCCACATGACTAAGCGGAACACCTTTAGAAACATCTGAGATTAGCTCAGTTGGTTAAAGCATGGTACTAAGGTTGTGTTGTGGATTCAATTCCTGTATGGGCCATTTATTTAAGAGTTGGACTGAATCATCCTTGTGGGTCCCTTCTACCTCAGAATATTCTGTGAAATACCTTTCCTATGGACTGCAGCACACAAATCCTAGCTCTACCAGAGACCCAAACCAGTATCTGCATAGTGTAGCACAGTGGCATGCAATCACTTCCATGTGGGTCCAGAAATGCTACTGACACTCTCATGCAGTGTTAGCTTTGTCTATCAGCCCAAGAGAAAGTTTAGTCCATCTAGCCCCAGGCCCTGAAAATGCAGACTAAAGTTGGCAGCCCAAGGTATCCCAAGTTTTTCATGCTGTGCTCCTTAGACCTCTGGATGTCTGTTAGTGCAAGTCAAGCTTGCCAG